TATATTATATATATCTTATATATAAAATATATAAGAGCATATATTTTCTTCTAAATTATAATGTATATAATGTATTGAAAAAAATATTTTATTTTAATCCTTTTTTAGTACAAAGATGCATTCTTAAATGCAAATCCTGATTTTAAATGGTACAAATTACCAGCACCTCCTTTACGTACTTTGAATACTAGGCCTACAAATAAAAAGGCAGAAACATATTCTAACGAGCAAATAGAAAATGTAAAATCTGAAAATAAGTCTTCCGATTCTTCAAAATCTGACAAACAAGATGGACAATCAATTCAACCGGGCAAACTAGCTGATGAATCCCAAATAGGTGGCCTCAGTTCATTGTTTACTCCTCAAAAAACACAAGTAGCAGATGAACAAGTGACTATTAATGATTCTGTGATTGAAAATGATACTGAAGTTCCAAAACCTCCTAAGAAAAGATATTTAGATGTACCTTTTTCACCTGATAATAAGAGAGAATGTAAAGCTGATCTTTTTGATGTAAAAAAGAGAAAAAAATCTGAATCAAATAATAATGTGCAATATGTAAGAAATCTCTTTAATTAAAATGTTCTTAATTAATTTTTTAAATAATTATAATTAAAATTTTTAATTAAAATTAAATATGATTTCAATTGAATATTTATTTTGTTTTTTAAATTTTATATTTTTAACATTAATAATTATATTTAGGATATAGAAGATGAAAAAACGGAATTAAATAATTTTTTATCTACAAATATGCCTTCAGAAGAAAGTAATTTTAGAACTGAACGAACATGCAAAGGTTTACGTTATCAAAAGTTCCTTGCTGAACAAATGAAAAATGTTGGTGCCTCTGGACAGCAACCTAAACGAAGAAGGCAAGCTGGAAATTATAGGTAAATAATTATGGCATTTTATTAGATTCACATTATATGCAAAATGTGAATTTATTATTAATAATATTTAATTAATTTACTTAGCACTGATGGCCAAGCAAATGAAAGAAGAAATTCTATTTCTTCGAATGTCAGTGAGAAAACAGATTCTTTGAGCAGTGAAGGTGGAAATAATTCTCGTAGCGAATTAGAACATCTTGTTGAAAGGTGACTTATATTTGTTTATAGTTAATTTTTATATTATGTATATATGCATGTAAATAAAAAAAATAATATATAAATATTATGTAAAGTGCTGAAGGAAATGTAGAAGCAGCAAAACCAGAAGAAACAGAAACTGAAGATGCAGAAGAGCAAGTTGATTTTGGACCTTGGACTGCAAGAAAAAGATTTCGAGCTGAGTAAGTTTAATTGTATAAATTATATATTAAAATACTGTGGTATACAATGAAAATGTATTATTTTCATTTTTTTATGTAGGGATTTTAATTTAGAAAAGAAAATTGAAGCATTACCATCTTTAAGTTTAGAAGAATTTCAGGAAAAGAAGAAACAACAACGTACGAAAAAGAAAAAAATTGCACAAAAATTAACATCAACTTCGAATAATAAAAGACATCAAAATAATTTTGATATCAATGATCAAGCAAATAGTCAAAACAATTCAATAATATCTCAAACAGAACGTGAAAATTCAGAAGATGTTGAAAAACTTCTAGTTGGAAGTCAAAAAAGGAAAGCACGAAAACAAAGTATTACACGTAATGCAGCAGCTATAAATGATTCAAAACAAATTGAAATTGAGGAACTTAATAAATGTAAGTATGTATAAATAAAACTTTGTAAATTTTTATTTCATTTGTTAGTATTTCATATAAATATATTACAAATATTTTTTTATAAATTTTTCAGATTGGAATATTATTATGTCATAAAAATTTTTATTTAAATTATTTATATTTTCATATAATATTAAAGACTTAAAGTATAAAAGTAAAAAAAATATTGTAAAGAAAAAATTCATTTAGAAATTAAATTTCGTATTAATTAAAGCATTGATTTATGTCATGTAAAGTTTTTATGAGTTAGATAACATATAATTGCATTCCAATCTGCAAAGTTTTAATATGTACTTAAGTTTTACTTTTTATTAATAATCTTGATTTAAAAATTAAAAAAAATATTTGAAATTATTAAATTAATATTATATTTAGTTTTTTATTATTATAAATATTATATAAGTTTAAATTATTTAATTAATTCAAATTAATTAATTATACAAATATTAATAGCGTGGTGTGCATCGCCGGACTTAGAAGCACTGGCATGTCTTGCAGCAGTTGCCGCCAACAGAACAAAACTTACCAAAAATAATACATAAGAGATATATATTTTTCGTATTTAGCAGTCATTCGTGACGTAAACTTGTACTAAGTAAACCAAAATCTTATTCATTTATTTCTTAATACAATTTCTTATTAGCTGAATTATTGAAATAATTGCTTTGATTGCTGTTAAAGAAAAAAATAATAACGTTTTTAATTATTCAAAAATATGCTACGTTATTATTGTTAATATCTATGTCGTTAATCGCTATTAATATGAATATTAATACTGACTGCTATCATAATTTTGTCACTTAACGTGTAAAAATATTTTTTTTATGTTGCATAAATGTCCCACAAATGTAGTTTATGGAATATAGTTTCTTGTATAGTTTGTTAATGAATAACCTTGTTACTATTATATATTGAAGAAAGATTCTAGTTTTCACTTTGAGTTGCGTGTAATTATTAAAATATTACATCAAGCATTCTATACTTGTTAATAAATACCTGCAGTGCAGATAATAGCCATTTTATTGAAACAAAAATGCCCGTGTATTGATATTCATTGGGAAATTTGTGCAACTTCCAACAAAGGATGTATTGTAGTCATATAGGACCTGACTAGGTAAATATTCAAGAAAAGGAAAGGTGCATGCAATAAAAGAGTGTTAATGAGCGTATATTATGCAATGATGTAGGCGAAGCAAGAATTTGATCTTGCAGACTAATTTTTCTAATATAAAATATTATAAATACGATCAAGAAGAAACGGTAACAAAACCGTGAACTTTAACAAAGCCGATGAGCAGGGCATTTTATCATATCTATATGTAGTAACGATAACACGTAATAACGCAAAGTCACTTGTTACTATTTTTGTTATTATCATCGGCAAACGTTTTATCTGTATTTCATTATGTTCTGTAAACATTTTATGTACATAGAAATAGGTGCAGTATTATGGAAGATATCCTTCATGATCTGAATATCAAAAAAGGATATAATCAAAATATATGTGTATAAATATATGTATATGTATATATATATATATATACATACGCAATATACACATGAAAGACCACTGTTTATATATTGTACGTGCGTACATGTAAATATACATAATAACGTCACGTATGCAAAATAAGAAATGTAAATTTTATTGTTAGAGAATGTCTGATATCAGGAAGCGTATGTATACGTATATGTATATAATTTGATAAGACTACGTATATATATATATGAATGTATATTTATATAATATTTATATATAACTATTATTCTAGAATTAAGACCATGAAAAATGCGATTCTGTGCTCTGTTTGAGAAAGTAAGGGACTTGTCTGTGATTTTGGCTAAAGGAGTTTTTAATATTTTATATTTTTCTATTGATTTTCTCCCATTTTCTTTCTCACTTTTTTAATTTCATTGAAGTCTAACTCTAGACACTATTAGTAAAATGATAGGAACAATTAATGTTAGTAAATTTCTCTGTAATATGGAAATGAGTATACTGATTATATTTCAAATGTGCCTTGAAGAGATATGAACATAGATATTAAACAATGACCAACAATATATTTTCGATTCGTTTCGTAATTCTAAATGTTTTTGGCTTTTACATTTATACCTTCCACATTTTCTAATTGTGGTTACGGTACATAATTATAGTAAGGCTTTTACAGCCAACGTCCGAATATTTGGAATTATAAAAGAAAAAAATAAGGGAAAGTGTTTCGAATTTTACTGCACAAACATCTATGTACCTAGCTTTAAAAATATAATTTACACGAACATATATATTATATATATATATGTGTATTATATATATATATATTATATATATATTATATATATATGTATTATATATATATATTATATATATACATACACATCATGCGAACATATATATATATAT